AACGTTCCAATATCTACCTGTTCTTAACGTTCCAATATCTGCCTGTTCTTAACGTTCCAATATCTACCTGTTCTTAACGTTCCCAACACAATGTTTCTTCCAGATAACCCGTTTCTCTGTGATTGCAACCTCGCCTGGTTTCGAGAGTGGATTAAAAGTAACGGAAGCGTGGTTGTGAGCATGCCCAGAGAGACCCGTTGCGAGAGTCCTAAAGATCTAAAAGGGTATCCAATAGCCGACGTACCCAGTGACGAGTTCCGTGACTGTTCTACCACTTCCTCTTCTAGCCTCGTTCTCCCTTCCATAGTGCTATTAATCTACAACCAGGGTATTGTCACTCCTATACTTCCAAGTGTGTGCCTTGCGTGGCTTGTGGGATATACTTGAGACAAACAAAGAGGCTTAACGAACTGTTTAAGAAAGAGGCTTAACTGATTAAGAAAGGAGCAGTTTGGTGGATTGAATCAGCGTAGGCAACATTACTACTTCGTTAAAATTGTGCTATACCGAAAAATTATACGTTTATTTTATAAAATTGATGACGACATATCAAAAAAACTGATTTTTTTTTAAAAAGAGCATCGCATTTAAACTTTGCTTTTCGTGGTCTTTCTAAGAAATATATATGTGTAATAACCTGAAAAACAAAAATAAGTACTTAACGTTATAATTATATAATACCGGAAACGTGTACAGCGAAGAGGTTTAGGGTATTTATCAGTTCATTCGTAAAGAACAGGCAAATACTGGAACATTAATAATGAACAGATAATGAAACTTTTTTTTTGAAAAAAAGGCGATAATTTAACGTTAATAGCAAAGTTAGGTACATTAAGTATCATAGGACACTACGAACAGTAATGTAATGTGACACTGAGAATGCGAACAAAATGGAACCTTCAGAATAGGAACAGAATAGAACGTATATTACGGAACTTCAAAATAGTTTGATAAAAACAAAACTTAGAAATAGGCAGATAATGAAACGTTAGGAATGAGAAAATAAAGAAACTAAAACAAAACTATAAATAGGCAGATAATGAAACGTTAGGAATGAGAAAATAAAGAAACTAAAACAAAACTTAGAAATAGGCAGATAATGAAACGTTAGGAATGAGAAAATAAAGAAACTAAAACAAAACTTAGAAATAGGCAGATAATGAAACGTTAGGAATGAGAAAATAAAGAAACTAAAACAAAACGGATAATGAAACATGAAAAATAGATAGCTAATGTAACGTTAAGAACAGGTAGATATTGAAACGTTAAGAACAGGTAAATATTGGAACGTTAAGAACAGGTAGATATTGGAACGTTAAGAACAGGTAAATATTGGAACGTTAAAAACAGGTAGATATTGGAACGTTAAGAACAGGTAGATATTGGAACGTTAAAAACAGGTAAATATTGGAACGTTAAGAACAGGTAGATATTGGAACGTTAAGATCAGGTAGATATAGGAACGTTAAGAACAGGTAGATATTGGAACGTTAAGAACAGGTAGATATTGGAACGTTAAGAACAGGTAAATATTGGAACGTTAAGAACAGGTGGGAGAGAGTTAAGCCTAAAATGTTCGTTTATAAATCACTGAATGAATATTTTTCATTAATGAAAGCAAATATAAGCACTAGTGACATCTAAATCCAGGTTAAGTAGTTAGCACACAGGATCACCCACAAAAGTTGTAATATTTTCAAAACGAAGCTTACTGAATAGCACTGTTAAATAATGTAACACCAAATGGTATCAATCTCGAACCCGGAGTTGTTGACCTTCGCAGGTCTCTGAAAAGATTTTCAAAACTAAATTCGTGATTAATCTTACTTTACATTAATAGTATTATTATTCTTTAAATATATATTGGTTTGATTTCCTATGTATATTGAGCTACGTTATTATTTTATCTATTTCCCACCGCCTTTTGCTGTTATTTAATTTTATTTATATTGTTTAATTTACTTCTGATTTTATCTTTATAGAAACTAGTTAACAATTTTTATAACTATTATCCCACATAAGTCTTTCAGGAACTTTACAAACCCCCTTTGGCACAAAACTAAACCTGACACAAACAACTCTAGGTTATGATTGGCTAGTTCTCAAGACCAACTCATATTGAACATCCGGTTTACGTGACGTCGACATCCGAGCCTAATATATTTCATCACACTCATTAAACATAGCCCTTTGTTCTCCCGAAGAACAATAGTCAACTATTCGAAAGCGCTCGAGTTTTGAGTCTCGTTGTGAAAATATTAGCATATCTGCTTTCTTCAATTGGTCAGCTATCTATACTTGAACAAAATTTTAACCAATCCAATGTAGTCTCTATAATCTAATACCTAGGCCTTACCTTATCTACTTTTACTTAAAGCTAACCATCTTCTAGTAGCTAATATCAAGAAGTTTTTGGTATATCAAATGATGAAGGTTTATTCAATTTCGTAAAAACAATGTCTTCCAGGAAGTACATATAATGTTCAATCAAACGGAAAGTCGCCCGACGTGCTTTCTTAAAAGCACGGAGATGGTCGAAATGAGTAAATAATTTATCAGTAAAGACGTGGTCCACAATCAGATAATTTCCACCAATAGCATGATTCGAAACAAAAGACGTGGTCCACAATCAGATAATTTCCACCAATAGCATGATTTGAAACAAACAAAAGATATATTCAACATTTATTTCCAAGACGACCACAACTAACAACAAAATTATGAATTTTTGTTAACAAAAACTGGAATTACTGACACAATGATTTGGGACAAATTTTCGCACAAAAAGATGCCAAAACACAAAACTTTAATCATCTTTGTGTTATAATTAAGTAGGGACATCTAGGAAGAAAGTTTAGGCATTGTGGTTTGATAAAGTATCAGAAAAACGTTCTTGAAAGATGAATATTTCGTTACAAAGTACAATTGTCTAAAGATGATAATTAAAGAAAAACTTGAATTCTTGTTAAAGATAAGTTTGGTGTAGAAGAAC